TTTAGGGTTTAAGGGTTTAGGGAAAAAAACGGAGTAGTACTCTTCCTTGAGGCTCTTGAACTATAGCATACTACGAGTGTTTGAAGCTGTACCTTGAACTGTGTCCAGGTCCAGAGACCCCGCAATCCCGCACTAAGCCTTCAAGCCTGCAATTAAACCCTAAACCCTAAACCCTAAACCCTAAACCCTAAACCTCAATTGGATAGGTGCTGCTCCCGGCGGTGTTCCTGGTCTTCGGCGATTTTCTGGTGGGAACTTCGCCCTCCGGCGTGAGAATGGTAGGCCCTGGTAGCTGCCAGGTTCCTGGGGGTTTAGGGTTTAGGGTTTAGGGCTTAGGGTTTAGGGCTTAGGGTTTAGGGTTTAGGGTTTAGGGGTTTAGGGTGTTTAGGGCGTAGGGGTTTAGGGCTTTGGGGTTTAGGGGTTTAAGGTTTTTGACGTAGGAACGTGGTTTGCTTCTTGTTTTTACCCATGATCCCGCGGAGAAGCCCAGTTGAACGACTCGGAGTTAGAGTATGGCTACGCTGAGGAGTCCTTGTGCGTGCAGTACTACGGCGCATCTCCTAGTCTGGCAACCGAACAAAACACCTACTATTCCTTACTGGGGTTCCTTCATATACGTATACTTACTATATGACACTATACCCCAAGAGCTCTATGCTATTAGGGTTCCTTCATATACATATACTTACTATATGACACTATACCCCAAAAGCTCTACGCTAATTAAGGGGGTTTTCCGAAAATAGGGGACCCTAGTATAGTACCCTAAATAATAGGATCCTTATTATAAGGACCCCAAAATAAGGTCCCCCCTAATTTTCGGAACCTCCCAAATTCTGAGCGCCGACCTGCCCAGGTTCATGCCGGCGGTCTTCGGGGACGCGGAGCTCAGTTCGGCTGTGGAGGCTCCGCTGGGGGTTCTTCGGTTCTCTAGGGGGTCTGGGAAGTCCCCGGAGACCGCGAAAGGAGATGAGGGTTCTACATTTTTTTGAGTAGTTCTCTAAATCTCATAAACAGGACCCTAAAAGGGACCCTCATTTAGAGAACTAGCCGAATGGGGTCAATTTCGATAATCCGGTGACTTAGAAAGTAGGGCTAAGTGGTGTTATAAGCAAGGTAGCCGTGGAAACATGTTCTTTATCACCCTGCTGGTGGTCCCGAAAATGTACTCGCAGAAAGGCTGAGAATTCAGGAGTGGGGGTTCATAGTTTAGGCTTTGCGCATCAGTGTTTAGAGCTTCGAGGCTGGTATTGGGGCGGACCGATTTAGCTGCAGAGGCGGTATGGCTCACCATAGGTTTAGA